TAAATGTACTTTCTTTCGATGAAAGTTAAAAAATATAATGATGAATTAAGGAAACTATTCCTCGTGTAAAAATAGATATTTTCTTTTAAAACATTCCGCCGGATTTCCTCGACGTTTTCGAATCGGTAAATATTGTCCTTTCGCCAAAATAGCGATTAGAAGGCAAACAGGAATATCTATGAAATTGATGGCGCACGCCACACAGATATTCGAAATCGTATTTCCCCGGCATTACGCTTGTACAACAAAAACTTATAAAAAAATGCTCGGGTATGCGAATCGCGATTTTCGGTTTTGGTCAGGTCGCCGGTGCGGCTCTAAATTTAGACGGTAAACACTTTTTTCGTGGGCGAACATGCGAAAATTTAACAACATATTGTAAATTCAGCTAGGCAATTTAGAATAATTTCTATTACCTACCATCGTAACGTACCTATTTTCGTTTATTTTAAAAACGTTCATTTTATACAAGATTTGTTCAAGAGTTCAAGGAAAATCCTTGGCGAAAATTTTATTAATTACTTATTTATCAAAAGAAAAAATGAATTAAACGCTCTATATATCTTATGCAATAAAATTATTAATTGTAACATTCCAAAACCTTGAAATACCACCGAAATATTTCACCTTAATCACTTTTTTTAGAAAACTACAGAACTCGAAATAAATCAAAATATTTTCTACGAAACATTCATAGTATGTAGAAATTATTTAATTTCCACTTAATATCGATATGAATCGACTACACGGAATTTTCGACACCAAATTTCTGGACCGGCGCCGGATGTTTATTAATAATAATTCCAGCTTTTATCCGGAATTTTTTCGTAACAATACCCGCTTTTTTAATAACACGCGTTTTCCCCGTATTTATTAAGTGTATACGGTTCGTTTCGAGGCCGAACAAATAAATATGTCGGGATAATTTTAAAACGTCATCCTGTGCATGTGAATTTATTTATTTAGTTTGCAATTGGAAAAAATTGGTAGTCCGAAGACGCCTTTATAGATTCATTTTCATCTCGTATTATTCCACTTTGTGTGCTAGATTAGACGACTCTCTTAAGTCAATAATTGGTAAAAAGAAGCTTGCATAAATTAGAATGAATTATTCTTTGCCCATTATTTCCCATAAAACTTGAAACATTGAATTATTCATTTTCATTCAAGTTCGCATTGCCTAGCTATATTTGTTCGTTAAACTTGTTTAAAAATCGCATAAATCAACATCGATACGCGATATTTCCGCGCTTTCCATCAAAACTTTCCCATTATTTTTCCGCCCTTCGAAGGCGATTTTCCCGAAAAGTTCGCCGGTCGGCTTTTCACCTCGCCCTGTTCGCGAAAATAACTCGGCGCTAAGAAAATGTTTTAATGCACACGTGTCGTTTCCATCTATACGGAAATGCGGAAAAAGGTTTGGTGAACCTTTCCCCGGCTCTTTCGCCTTATTTCTTCCGGAGTTTTCCTATTTGAGGTCGTGAACTTGACACGTACCCGTTTTTGCGCTTTAGTTTTACGACTCCAGGTAAATTCCGATGAATTGAAAACGCAAAATATTATTCCTAACGTCAATTTATAAGTGTAGTTAAGGTTAGCTAATGTAGTATTTGTGAAAAAAAAATTTCCATGATGTATTTTTTGGATGTGTTAATCTTTCACCTTGCTCGATAGATATTAGTAAAACACCTTGCACTGACATTAACAACGGATGTAATTTTTTCTTTCGAAAAATTGGATACGCCGACACCTCGCAAATTTAACATAATAAATCTATTATTACGAAATACGAATTTGGGTCGGGAAAAAATAATTCGAATTGGTATTCGTTCGCTTTTAGCGAAAGCTAACATGTGTTTTAATGACATTATTCTAATTTTTTTCGTTTGTTAATTGGACGATAAATAAACGGTGTTGAAAAATTTATGGGGTTGTTAACATCGATAAATTAAAATCGGGATTTTGATGAAAAAAATTCGCGTATTATCGTGATTAATTCTGTATATATAATTATTTTTAAATTTTTTTCTCTCTACCTATACGTAGGTATATCCTAAACAAAACGTTTGAGAAATTTGAATAATCGATAACCTCTACGTACGATTTCATTATTATTATTCCTCTATTGCAGTTTACCGGTATTATTAAATTATCTCCACCCAATATGGAAGGGTATTTTTAATTTTTTATTTCGATAACAATTTCAACCCCGGCTAATCTAGACGTTGACGATTTTCGCCGGATTATTTCGTATCGGAAAAACCCCCATATCGACGCATTAAAATGTATATAGCGAGGTGCAAGCGATCACTCGTTCGATGAACCTCTTCTTGGGGGTGAAAACAAACCGCAGCTTATCGACTATCGACCCGTAATGATGGAAAGACTGAAAAATTCCTTCGCCGCTTTTTTTTCTGCTGCTTGCAAATAGGCGCTCGATTTTTATTGCACCTATTTCTATATCAGACGTCTAATAGACCTACAAATATGAGGTCGATGGCGTGTTTCTGAGGTTACTCGGCTCTAAAGGTGATACACAGGGTGTTTTTAATGTGTAGAACATAGACGTGTGATTTATTAATGAAAATTGGGTCTACTATTTCGTATATAAAGAGTACTAAAATGTTTTCCCTAAATCGTTACAATTAAGAAATACCAAGTATACAAGAATTACTAAGCTTTACTAAATTAAATTTCTTCTACTAAACAAGTCTGCAATTATTTTTCATCACAACTGCAGTGGAAATTGTAAAACGTTACTTTGTAACAAGCTAATTTGTAACTGTTACATTCAAACAAAGAAAATCGTGCAAAAAAAAGTGCACATTTTATATTCCGGGCATCCGGTTATCACTCCGGAATGAAAGGCTGATTTTTCTAAAAAAAATCGGGCTCCGCGTGCCGGTCGGCAATCACGTTTTTACCACTCGTATTTTTACCATTTCTCCGTTTATTAACAAAAATTGCCGTCTGAAAACTGAATAGGGGCATTAATTTAATCAGTACGCGGGCACGGCGCTCGCCCGATTGAATAGAGGGCATCAGACGATCCCGTCCGTTCGAAATAATAATAATACACGAGTTATTACACTTCGACCCAACTTTATCAACACGTGTACGACATTTTTTTATTTTGCAGAAACGACGGTTTCGTTCGGTATTATTCCAGTTTGTTTGTTGTTTGTCTAATATAAATCATTAAATTTTGAAATACAACGTGGGATTATCATTGATTAAAACGTGGAATTAGATTCGTATTTTTGCGCAAATGTTTTGTCAAAGGGATTGTTGTTTGGAAAAAATTAGTCTGCACAACAGAGAATAGGCTTATCGCGAATTAATATAAATATTACGTTACGCTATTTTGACGTTCGTCGTATTTTTTTATCAAACATAGATATAAAGTTTGAATAATTTATTTATCGATTTTAAATTTTATATGTACCTATAAGATAAATAAGACTATATTGGATTTTTAAAACAACAGGTTTCCGTAAACTTTGATGAGTTAAAGAAACCTGAAATTCTCCAGTCATTTGGTTTTTCAATCATAGATCGCGCTCAAATAAAATTGTTAACCAGTCAATTCGAAAGGATTTAACAAAATACATTAGAATTTTTATAAATCCTCTCAACACATTATCTTTTTTTCAATTAGTATTTGAAGTTGAAATATTTAAATGCGCTTTATTAAATTGTTTATTGAATTTTATTGACTTTTTATGACCAATTACTGTTTGTTTATAGCCGCTATTTAATGCTAAGTAAGAATGCACTTTAAATACAACAGTTTAAACAACTTAAAGAAAATAGTCACATAAGATAAGTCTATAAAACTGTTTATTAGTTTATACGTTTCTTTGCAAAACAAATAATTTGAATTTAGTAATTATTTTAATGCTACGTAAAGTCGAACATTGATTAATGCTAGAATGATAAATTGTTGATAAATAATTATTCTTTTTTTTTCCTTTGATACAACACCTTCCTGATAGACGTTTTACCTTGGCGTTTAAATAAAACCTGAACTTTATACTGTTTAGGGTCCAATTATTCTACGTGTAGGAATTGAATCGTTAGCACAATATAAAAAAATTACACATATTTTATTAACCTTTTTTTATATGAATTTATTATTTTTAGTTTTCCGCTAAAGATTATGCATATTATTTCAAACATAAAATTTTCATTGAAACATTTGAAATTCTTAGGAAATGAACTTAGATTACAGTAAGTTTTATATTTTATCGGAGAACTGTTTATAATGTGACAAATAAAACACAATAGAGTTGCTAAATAAATTACTGTTTACAATGCACATACATGTGTATATTTTTATTGTCAAATTTATATTACGGTGGTTAATTTATCAAATCATATGAAATGTAATTTTTTTATTGCCAATTTATTAACAAGTCTATTAAATTAAGAAAGATTTTTTATTTTCTTTACGTTATTAGAAACACCCCTTGTACATTTTTTACATTTCTTAGTATATTTGAGATTACTTTAGATTTGAAATTAGAACTGGCGCATCCACCAAAATATACACAGAATTATCTACTCATATTCAAAAATAGTTATTGAAGTACACAGACAATTAGGCGTTTGTTTAAATTAATTATTTTTTGAAGAAATTTCTATTTTCAAGCAATAGAATATTTGCTAAAGAATTAATATCCTTTCACTTTCTGATAGACAACCTGTATTTCGCCTTCCATACATCAGGGCGATTAAATAAAAATTTTAATGAGCACGAAACAACATATTAACGAACAGCACCAAATTTAAATCGATGCATGTGCAATAACACAACACCTTGAGAACATTAACAAAAATAAAAGTATACGCTGGCTCTACCGTGTAATTATTACGAATTTCTGTAGATCTACATCGATAATGTGTGTCATATTACCCAATACGCTGACTCGTACGCGAGCAAATCCGCCAGGTAGATGCAACCAACAACGAAAAATATTAAAAGAAATATACACAAAGAGATGGGATCCAATTAACCGGCGGCTGATGGTCAATTTCGTTGCGTCATTGTCAACTTTGACCAAGGTTTCGGCACCCTACTCCTATTACCTGGAGCGGATTTCGTGGCGATCGCGACCACGGTGTAGTCGGCCTAGACGCGGCCCATCCGAAACCCGATTTCGAGACATCGAATTTCAGAGAAAAGTGAAAATTTGCGCCGAACGCGTCGCGCCATTTTGCGCTCTTTTTTTGAATAATTTTCGTTAATTTTATTCGAAAAAAATTACGAATCTCATTAAATCGGTGTGAGTTTTTGTTGGTTTGGTTTACGTTCCGTAATATTTAATTCATGTTCTAAGAATAATTGTTGTGTTTTTTTTATCTATTGGTGAGTATATTATTGTTTTACTTAAAATTTAAAGAAAAAATTTGCATATTAATTATTACTATACAATATATTATTTCGCACAACTAATTAATTTACGAGTATTTAAACAATAAATAATACTTTCAATTTCCTCCATCGCATATATTCACTTCTACCATATTTTTTCCGTCACCAATATTCTTACTCAAAAACTTCCATATAAAGCAATTTGCACCGATTATAATTATTTTTTAAAAACAACGTTAATTTAATGCAAATTTAATTCATTTTTCCAACTTTTAACAGAAGCTTCTAAAATTCTTGTATGTATTTTTGAAATGCTTGTTTTGTTCATTTGTAAATGAATTTCTTAATACACAAACGAATTAAATAGAATTCATTTTATAAACAGGTTTTGGATTCGGTTTAAAGGCCGGTTTAAACGAAATCGTTTTCGTATAACGATTTGCCGAATGGAATATTAGCTCGTGTAACAAGTTCATGGACTCAGCTTAAAAAAATGTAGAGTAACATGAAGATTCTTCATGGAAACGGTCGTTATCTCAATTTTAATGTCTACACTGTGGTATGAAATGCCTGTATAGACTAGCCATAAGTACACAGGGTGTTTGACAAGAGGTTAGCGACCTTCTATGCTAAATAAAATCACACAATTTTTGCATTGTAAAAGCATTCGACAACAATTATTCGACTTTATTCGCAAAGTACCCGTAAACAGAGTGTTTTGATAAGCTTGTCTTGGGAAAGTATATGTAAAATTTCCAGTGTTTATTAAAATTTCATGTGGTATTTTAACCATATGACATTTTTTTCGATCAATAGAAGTTGTAGGCACTGTAATTAATCTAATTTTAAATTCAAATGATAATGAAAAATTCATTTACTTTTACATCGATAATCAATATCTCCGTGCGATTCCTACAAGTGTCTGAATTAGATTTTATACGACAGGAATATTTCTATTAAAATTAATACTTTATAAAAAACTAGGTAATGTAAGAACTTAATTTCAATTATCTCACATTCATTTCTTGTATTTAAGATATACAGGGTATCCCTGAAAGTGTGGGAAATCTCTCGGATCCATATAGAACATGAAAAAATAAGATAAGAAGTTCCTATAAAGTTTTTCCCTACAGACCCTCACTACGAAGATATGCGTCCTTGAAGTGCGCCGCTGTAAATAGGTCCTTAAATATCTTCTAAAGTAAAACTTCATATGAACCTATCTCTTAAACGTCTTAACTTTTGAGATATAAGGTGTTAAAGTTTTAAGAAAAAAATCATTTTTTTTTTCAAAATGGGTCCAAGATTCAGTCCCTTAAATATTAGCATGTTTAATGGAACACTCTGTTTGAAACGAGTAATAATTTTTTTATTGAATCGATTAGCGTGCTTGTAAACAACACAGTGAAACGTAACACACAATATATTTGGATACTTTTTTTTATTTAATTATTTATTTTGTAATGGGCATTTTATGTAAATTCTGTTAGATACTAATTTTATGCTTTATCTCCAAATAATTGCTAATACTTATTGGTAAAAAAACTCAATTAATTATTAGTTTTATAATTAAAATTCCTAATATTAAATTGAGACTGTGAACATAAAAGTTTGCATATATTAACCAATTTATTCAAAGTATGTATTTATAAAGTTTTATCTTTTATTTAACACATTTTAATAGAAACATTGCAGGATAAATTTACAGAAAAATGTACTTATGTACATATGTATAGGTATACCTACTTACAGATTTTATTAATATTAAAACGAGTAAAAAGTAGATCAACCGCATATTAAACAAACTAACGTTGCATAAAATTGTTTAGATTAAAATTATGTTATTAGCAACATTTTTTTTGTATTTACAAATTATTCGTGATTGTTCAGTGAAAAAAATTAAACACTCTTTTTTCCGTTATTGATAAAAAAAGATACACTCCATACATGCAAAATAATTTAAAAAAAGGAAATTATTTACTGTCACTTTAAGAATTCAAAGAATAACTTATAATCTACTTTTTATATATGTATAAATAATGATAAACGTTAAATATACGCACAAGTAATTTTTTGATTGATATTTGTTACGTAAATTACCTCTAATTCTTTATAGGCATTTTAATATTTTTGACGTAACAATTTTTTGCTGGAAATACCGTCAACGAAATAGAAATTAGCTTGAGGTCGACGTGTTTAATTTGCATTAAATCTAATAAAGTGTCTGCCTGCCAATAAAAATTGGCTGCTTATTATAGCTCTTCAATTTAATTAAAATATTTAGTTGGTAAATTTAATTTCCCGAATTAACTTAACAAATATTCACAAGAAGCAAAAAAAAATTAATTGATTTTTAAAGTTTAAAAAAATATTTTTTTTAATTGTTAGTTAAAGTTTATTACTTTTTTCAGGTTGTAAACCTAATAAAAATATCGATATTAATTAGTACGCTTTAGGAAAATTGTTAATGGTTGGTTATTCTTGAGGAATTTCCAGCATTATTGAATACATCTACTTTCCATTTATAACGATAAAAAATCAACGAAATTATTACAAAAAAATCAGTGACCGATATGTTGAGTTTTCTTATTTCTTTCCATTAGGAAATAACTGATTAAAAGACCTGCAAATCGCTGAAACGTATACAAATATAACACAAAATAATTCATAATGAACGCGTATCGTAATATCCGCCTGCATTTGAAAACATTTCTTGGTTAATCATCTTGCGTTACTCAACTATTTTGTAATAAAATATTTTTTTGCTCATTAAAGTTAGGAATTGTTATTTCTTATTCAAAATCGTTTTTTGAACGATTAACCTCCATTATTTTGTTTAAGTTTAGGTGGATAAATGATTTTCGTTCGTATTTACTCAATTATCCAAACAAAAAAAAAATTATGTAAATTACCTATTTTGAATCAGCCAAGTAATTTGTTGATGACCGACCAATTCCCTGTGGGAACATTAGCAATGTCATGTCGTACAAATACTAATAACGTAATAAACTAAATCAAGTAATCGATATATAATTGAACTTTATACTTTCTAGGGAATTCCAATTAACGAAATATTTAAATGACTGTGCCATTTGCTATTTTATTTTCAACTATTTTCACACATTTGTATAACTACAACACAAAACACTAATTAAATTTATCGAGAAATGTTTAGCAATAATCACCAACAAAAAACCAGTTAATCGTTTTCCACGAGTCTGTAAGTACCTTTTCGCGCAAAAAATATAAATAATATATTAATTTTGAAGGTCTTATTAAAAAAACATAATTATACCTATAAGAAATTAGATTTTAAGTAGTCATAAACTACCAACTTCCTAATTCCTTCTTATTCAACGCTATAGTTCGGCGGAGTAAACGCTCAACTTCCTGTTATGTATTCCAGGATAAAATCTGATCCGAGATGACGGAACGCCCGAGCGATCTGGAGCTGCGCAGGCAGCAATTCAAAGCCCAACCGTCTACTGTACAAACCCGAAGGCAACAGGCCGTGTGCGTCAGAAGGGCATGCAAGAAATACGGCACCAAAAGCAACCCATACGTGGTCTTGGACAATTTGAACATGACAGTGCCGAAGGGTTGTATGTAAGAGAAAAATTCCATTACACCAAAGTTTGCTATTAATAAAATGAATAGGGGATAAATCCGGTGGTCGGGGAGGCTGTTTCGTCTTCCGTTTGTTTGGTAGAGATATAGGGTAATAAGTTGTTGGTTTTCAGATATGGTTTGCTGGGTGCAAGTGGCTGTGGTAAAACGACTTTGCTCAATTGTATCGTAGGAAGAAAAAGACTTAACTCGGGGGAACTGTGGGTCTTGGGCGGAACGCCTGGATCCAGGGGTAGCGGGGTACCTGGACCTCGAGTAGGATATATGCCTCAGGTAATTATTAACGAGAATAATTTATTTTATGATTGTTCAGTTTACGAGTATTGTCGTTATATTATTCCGCGTATAAAGTGAAAATAAATTAGAAAACTAATTAATATCGAGTTAACAGGAATATAATTAAAAGGTAGAAAATTAATAAAAATTAGATGTTACAAAGTAACCTTTGCGTATTCGAATATTAAATAAACGTCCTATGATTTATTGTGATTGGTAAAATACAACTGGTTTTTACTCTTAAATTTAGATGTTTAAAAATTTCACCTCAAGGTCTTTTTTAACCGGCTCAATTACTGCGTTGTGCAATATAAATTAGGCGGTTTAATTTATCGGAATTTTCCTAATTAGTAACCCAAACAAAACGCGTTTTACTAAAAATTGAATAATCCCGTTCGACGAATGCATGACTGCATTACAAAACTAACAATTAATTTTCACAGGAAATCGCTCTCTACGGGGAATTTACGATTAGAGAAACTCTAAAATACTTCGGCTGGATATCTAATATGACCACCGATGAAGTCGAGGCCAAAGTAGATTTTTTCATCAATTTTTTGATGTTGCCGGACGCCGATAGACAGGTCAAGAATCTTAGCGGTACGTTTTTTTTATCTTCAGTGTTTCGCCCCAAGAGATTCTATAAAAAAATAATTTTTAGGTGGTCAACAGAGGAGAGTTTCTTTAGCAGCGACGCTTTTACACGAACCAGAACTGTTAATTTTGGACGAGCCTACCGTCGGCGTCGATCCATTGTTGAGGACAAACATTTGGAATCATTTGGTGGAAATTACGAAATATGGAAGAACTACAGTGATCATTACCACGCATTACATAGACGAAACTAGGCAAGCTCATTTGGTAAGTAACATATTTAATCTGTAAGTACCCCGGTCAAAGTGAATCATTCCCTCTTGATGCTTTATAATAAATATATTTTTAATTATACATTTGAGGAAAAAAATGAAGGTGGTTCCGAGCTATTATCAACATAAAAAAACACTAGTTTATTTTTTGTATTTAGCTATTTTAATAGATCAATGCAAATGTACTTACATAGAGTACAAATGGTAATTCGAATCATTGTCATTAATTATTATTACCAGATAAGTAATTTTCAATGTACGTACACCTCAAAATTGCCGTTTATTTAATAGATATCTACTATTTACTCTCTAATTGTTTTGTGTTCAATAACTCGATTTTCCTTGAACATTTTCGCAACGCGGCAAATATACAGAATGGAAAATTGACAGTGTTGACAACCATTAGTAAAATAATTAATCAATAAAAAAATTTAAAAAAACATAAAATTGTCGAGTAGGTGGAATTTTATTTGAACAAAGGTTAGTTGGGAATTTTATAATTGTTGCTTGATGATGCATAATACTTGAGGCTAAAAAAAAAGAAAATTTTTCAAGGTTTTATTTCCAGATAAATTAATTGCCACTTCCCTGGATATGCGTAATGTCATTTGTTTGAAAAAAGGAAAAATAAAATCCAAATATTGTATATTTGAGTTGTTGCTTTTCAGTTATAATCTTATCTAGAGGTAAGTCATTGATCACAAACTTTCACGAGTTCAATAAGGATTTGAGATTGATGATTTCCAAAAATTCGGAGGTCAAGCAGGCTCCGCTGACCAAAAACCCGTCAACGTCCGGTTCTTCCGACAATTTCCTGCAATTCCTGCCGGTCACTCTTCCGCCGAATATGATCCGAACGCAATTCGATATCTCCGGGCAAACGTTATTGCCTATCCAATCCTTGATCCAAGCGTGCATGTCCTGCACCTCCTTCGGCGACAGTTTATGTCCTACAAACACATTTATTGTCCCTTCGATCTGTTTTATATCGAAGCACAAACCGGAACTTTTGGCCCAGACCGGTTCGTATGCCAGAACAACGTTCGTCCAATCTCCGTTCAATTTCTCAGCTATAGCACACACTTGGTCAGAAATGACCTGGTGCGTTTTCCTGTTCTGTTTATCAGCCAAAGTCTCACCGATGCAAGCCACTATTTTCAAGTTACACTTTTTGGCTGCCTCTACCTACGGAGTACATGTAGCGGGTTACACTTAGCATTGATGACCTTGTGGATGTCCGAGTTTGTGGCTTAAAAACTTACTTTTTCAGCGACTAGTTCGTTGGTTTCTCCGAATAACGTGCGCCTTTCCGAATGGCCCAATATCACCCAATTCACGCCCATATCTTTGAGCATCATGGGTGAGGTTTCGCCGGTGAACGATCCCCGTTTGAATTTGTAGCAGTTTTGAGCGGCCAATTGGATTCTTCTCGGGCACAGTTTTTTACTGTACTCTTAAAACACGCGCAAATCGATTAATAAAACATCTATAGATTCACGCCTGTCGGTCCTTATATTCATTTTGTAATCCTACGATCGTTTAATGGGCTTCTCGTTTTAATACTTACTTAAAAAATTTACCTAAATATATGGTGGGAACGGCGACGAACACCTCCGTATCGCTCCTTATCTCCGCGTTCTTCAATCTCTGGAATATCATCCTGACGATTTTCTGGGACCCGTTCATTTTCCAGTTCCCGCCGACGATGAATTTCTTTTTCGACCACCAACTCGTCGGCAAGAAATTCCATATTGGTCTGGAAATTCACAAAAATTATCACGTAAAAACGTTAAATTCGCGAATCGCAATTCCATACTGACATTAGCATATCCGGCAAAGTGGGAATTTTGACAAAATTTCTTCTTTTCCATTCCGAACTTTCATTAAGAGCACAATAAAAGATTATTCACTTACTTTCATGTACACATTAACTTACTTGCTTCACAGGTCCCTTAACTACAACTTATTGGAAACGCTTTCTCTTCTTTCATTCACGTTTCTACTACCACTCTCCCGATCTTCTCCCTTAATTCTCCTTAAACAAGAACCTTGCAGAAAGGGTTGTTTATCCAACAGACATGAATGCAGAACTAACAAGACTGGAAGATTCTAAAATACCCCGAATTTCGCTCCAAACCACGTAGCTCTCCTTAAACAAGAACCCTGCACAATGGGTTGCCTACCCAACAGGCTCGAACGCACACCTAACAACACGCTGAATTTCGTTCCAGATCGGCCTAATGAGAGGCGGCTACTTCTTGGCCGAGGAATCCCCATCCAGGCTAATCACCCAATTCGGCGTGCAGAGTTTGGAAGACGTCTTTCTGAAGTTGAGCGTCATGCAGAACATGGGCAAGAGGCGTCGATCGAGCATCGCCCAATCGGTGACGGAGAGCATCCACGTGCCCGAATTGCCGGGAGGCGCCGTCAATCCGGCGGCCGTTTTGGACGACGAGGTGGGAGAGATATCCGGGGAATTCGGAGACAGCGTGTCGGTGACGAGCAGAACGGGAAGTAAGTGGCGAAGGATCGCCGGGAATCGCGTGTAAATTGGTATTTGTTCCGAAGGGAGGGTGTCCATCGCGCCGGAGCCGATGATCGAGACGCCAGAGGAGCTGCCGCCCGACGAGGAGCCCGACATGTCCTTCAAGGACTATTTGAAAATCGTCAAGTACAATCACATGAGGGCTTTGGTGTGGAAGAACTTCCTTTGGATGTGGAGGAATATACCTATGATGATGTTTATCATTGGATTACCTGTCGGTACGTGGTTACAACGAAGCGTTAATTATCTCGGTAAACTTATTATTAATTTCCAGGTCAAGCTATACTCTTTTGCCTCTCCATCGGTCACGATCCTGCGGGAATAAAGCTGTCAGTGGTGAACAAAGAAATCGATTTTCCCAACGAACAATGTTCTCACATCGATTTGTCGTGCAACAATACCAAGTTAAGTTGTAACTATTTGGATTTCGTTTCGAACAATTATTCAATAAAATGGGTAAGTCTAAATTCGGAACTTTCAGCTCTTTTTTCACGGAATAATGTTTAGGAATTCGTTGAATCGGAACGAGCAGCGAAGCAAATGGTCGAAAAGGGTCAATCGTGGGCGGCTGTCGTGGTACCCCATAATTTTACCGATGCTTTTCGTAATAGGATCGAAGAGGGCCGAGACGCCTCACCGGAGCATATTTGGGCCTCGACTATAAGCGTTTTTCCGGATAAATCTAGTAAGTGTAATTTTTAGGGTACAACTATAACCAATATTAACGCACTTGTATTTTTTCTAGACGAAAATATCGCAACGTTTTTGAACAGAGATTTGATATTTGCCTTTCAAGGATTCCTTAGTACTCTAATGGTAAGTTGCGGTTGGGATCCCAGGCAGCTTGATCTACCAGTAAAGGTAAATTACAGTACTTAAATTCCTTATAAATATACTCTAGTAGCACTTATTTCATTTTAGTTCAATACACCCATTTATGGTTACGTAAATCCGGATTTCACAGATTTTGCAGCGCCCGGAGTGGTACTAACGTAAGTAAAACGTAAAATCCTTATTCTACTGGTATATTAATCGCAATTATTGCAGCATTATTTTCTTCATGGCAGTAGCGTTGACCTCCGGTTCCATGATCATGGAACGAAACGAAGGTATATTGGAGAGATCTTTGGTAAACGGTATCAGCGGCACGGAATTGTTATTCTCCCAAATAATTACCCAATTCGTGGTGATGCTGGGCCAGACGCTCATGGTCATTTTGGTTGCCTTCGTAGTATTTAATTTAACCCAACAGGGAAATTGGGCCACCGTTATATTTCTCACAACCACTGCTGGAGTTTGTGGAATGTGCTTCGGTAAGATATTGTGCATAAATATATTACTAATTTCATAATGAAAATTTCGATTTTATTGCAGGGTTTGTAGTGGCGTGCATTTGCGACAACGAAAGATCAGCTACGTATTTGGCCCTGGGTAGTTTCTTACCCATTGTAATGCTTTGTGGTATTATATGGCCTATAGAAGCGATGAATGATTATCTGAAAATCGTATCATTCGTGCTACCTTTGACGCAAGCCACGGACAGCTTGAGGTGCATTTTGGCCCGGGGATGGGGCCTATCGAATCCCGTTGTTTACGCTGGATTCATATCGCTGTTAACGTGGATCGTTGTATTCCTAACGATCAGTATATTAGTTTTGAAGTTTAAAAAAGGTTAATGTTTTTTTTGTATAGGTTTTATACACTGATGGTGTTGTGTTATTTTAGTCTTTTTATAATGTGAATTGTACTTAATTTTACTTTACAAATAAATTATTATTGAAAATTAATGCAACATATATTCATGGTACCCTTACACTTCGTAAACCAGTAAATGCCTATAAATTCGATGATTAACTCTGGCTAGTTAATGAATTTATGGAATATTACCTAGCTATTAAACTTCGTTATTCACACCAGCATTTACAACTGCTGCTAAATCTTCCGTTTCGTTGGATTCCCTCAACCTGTCCCTAATCAACTCTGCGATAGCCTTTTGGGTCTGCTTCTCCAGTTTGGCCAGTTTTTTTGCAACGTCCCTTTTCAAGTCCCAATCTGGTTTTCTCGGAGCTAAAGCGGTCACGTCCAATTGATCAATAACCACTGCAGATTTGGCAGATTCCAGTTGCGATTGCACCTAAAATAAATTAGCAAAAATTAGCTCTTCCGAAGCCAACGGAAAATGTAGAAAATAATCTACACTTACTCTACATAAATATAACAAAACTGTTTAACAAGATTTACCTCTGTAGCGATATTTCCAGGTTCTGCCGGCGATAAGGCTAAATCCTCCAACTTTTCGTTCAAAGGTTTGTAGCTTCTAAATTGCGGTTTCGGTAAAACAACCTTCCCTTCGGTGGCATCGTTCCCTTCGCGATCGGTATTAGTATTACCTTCTCGCTTCCTTTTTAAATTTTTCAGGCGCTCTTTTCTTTTAAACGCTTCGTCTTCCAAACGACCCACTTTTGAATCTGATTCGGTCATTTTACTTAACAGAACACTATCAAATATAAATTATTTAATAAAACAACCACTTTGATATAAACAAAAAATTATAGGTTATATTCTTCTTCTTTGTTATTAAATTGACAGTTGAAGTTTTCGTATTGTGGGCCTTTACCTTTACAGTCTTTAATGTCAATCTAATGACATATCTTGCGGTTGACTTATCGGTTAGTCAGTTACCTAAAGAATTGTGACTTTAAAATTTCTGGTTTATTGTAAATAGAATAATATTACAACAAAAATACATTCTGCGATAAATGTTTTATGACCATTAATTGCATGTTACACATTTTGCTTTATTATGATTATAAAAGTAATTTGTGTTGCCTATATTTAGGCGAAATATTTAGGCATTTTTTTTTAAATGTCGGGATTTCTGAATACACAATGCGACTTTAATTTTCCTTCACTATGAAGCATCATCACTGTCACTGCTTGGATTGAAACATTTGATCCTGTTTGTGCAGATATACAGCTTTCCAATTTCCAGTACCTATTAAGAACACTTTCATAGGTACTTCCCATAAATCTTGTTTGTTGGCATAACTTTCCACTCTACACTCACACTCACAAATTAATGTTAGCAGCCATAAAGTCATAATATAATATAGTATTCCTGTTGAGCAAAAGATTAAGAAGATTCACTTGATTAAAAACACTTGCTTATCTTCAGACCTTCACAGAACTTTAATGATTTTAAAGGAAACATTTCCAAGACTATAAGATTGTTCTCCATTACCAAAACCAAACCAGAGATTGTGAGTCATATCCTCTCCCAGAGCTCGTACGTCTCAAGATAAGATTTGTTGTGCGCGTGACACACATTGTTGGGAGTCAAACAAAGGCGTTCTAGGGACGATTTTCGTCGTATATTCCAGTCAACGAAGTAAAAAATACCGTCCGTGGATAAATAAAAATAGCTCTTATTAGACACGCTGGCGCTCGTATATCTAATATGTTCAAAAATCCAAGTTAAAGTACCGCTATATCAATACAAACGAGTTCCATTATGAGCTAGCAGATAACTGAGAATTTGCCACAATTAAGCATTTAACTAATTCGACGAGGCTAAAGCACCAAGTCGGATGGAGAAGGAGCACGGGCAATAAGCGAGAGTTGGTCGCGACGAAAAGATAAGTCACATTTCGTACACTTGTTTCTCGATTTTCAGTTTCAGTGCACTGTGTGTACGGCGTAGGATCGAGCGTATGAGAGAGGAGGTACTATCACGACTTTTTTTTTTGTCGTACCAATCCTTGTCGAACGCGGACTTTCTCCAATAAGCGCGATAACTCGTGCAAGTGGTTTAGATTTTTGGTTTTTTTCGAGCCAGGTAAGTTTGATACACGTTAATTTTTCGCCGAATTGTCGGGAATTGAAGAATGTTATTAACGATACATTTAAATATAATGAAAGAAAAGTAGAAGTACCTCGATTGAAAGAGTCACATATGCTTTTAGCCTATAGTCTATTAAGAAAGTAAATATAAATTAGTTTATAATTATTAAGTCATTATGTTAAGTTCTGAGTATTTTCAAAAATATTGCTATACGTTTTTAAAAAGAGTGTTTTCCTTACGTATACATATCGCAATCTTATCAAAAAGAGGATTAAATCACTAAATAAATTTTAAATGTTTATTATCACAGGTATTTCAAAATAATTTTTGGTAAAACCTGAATTATCCCAATTGAAATTAAATTAAGGAAGTGACATAAAGCCCATTTATATTGCTGAGAGTGGTTAGTACCCAAATAAAGAATATCTTATAAGGTGGTCTCATTGAACAAAAATCTAGATTGTATAAAACCTTCCTTGATTATATGAAAATGTTATGCTAATAGTATGCACATGCACAAAGAGAATTATATGAAATATAATGTAATGTAAAGAAATATACAGGTAAGAACTTGTAATACTTTGCAATTATATTTCAAATTCAAAATTGTCATATTAATACCTTACCAAATTAATCAACAAAACAACAGTTAGCAAACGTGATTTTATTGTTGATTATTATCGTCATAACAAAGGACTTCATTTAATTATAACAACGATTATAAATATTGCGTTTTCAAGACGATTGTTCAAGGACCGCGAAGCCAATGATTGTACCAAGCAAGCTTTTGTATTGAAAAATAGTAATGTCTATACAAATTATTACGTTTAGAAATTACAACTATGTTCATTACTTAATTACTCATCAGTTAATTGGTTATTCATAGGTTAATTTATTAAGTAGATTTTCCTATTTATCTAATGTATCTATGAGCTATTTTATTTTTAAAATCTTAAAAGAACAGTATAATATTATGCTCTTGAAATAAAAATAACCTCCACTATTTTATTACCGTTTTATTTAAAGATCGTAAACATTTTAACTGGGAATTGAAACCCTTTTGCGGGTCAATGTATCGGCTTTATTGACACATTATACTAACATGGACGAACACTAGAGCCTATCATTTAAATTCTATTTTAAATCTTTTTAATTTGTTTATACTATTACGCTGCGGCATAGCACAAGCGCGTTGAAGAGTTTATAGAACTTGAGGAATATTTCGGTTATCGCTTATCTCTGGAACTGGAATAACGGAAGTAGTAGCTTGTTAAGCGGAAAACTTACAAAAACGAAACTAAAAATAACGCTACAGTCATTAGACTGAAATTAGAATCCCGCTTTCGATCAGATTGATTATAAACTATTGATTTTTTAAGATGAAATTAACTATTCACTAGTGCCCCAAATAACACCAGATAACAAAAACAAAAAAAACTCTATACAGAAGAATGATGACAACAGTAGATATGATGGTTCAAAATCATCAGAGTTAGTTCAATAGCACCATTTTACAATGAGACAGCATATTATTTTTGACCCTGTTATAAACTAGTTTAATTTTCTAATTAAATTGGCAAACCGATCTAGTTAATGCAAACTGCTGTAAGTTATTAACTAAACTCATACAAGCTAAAAATAACTTAAAAATAATTTATATTCATAATTCGGGTGATTGCTTACATATTCTGGGAGATCCTAAACACAATAATAACGAAAACATTTTAAATAAAGCAATATATGCAAATTGCTTATTTTTTCTGAATAGGAAAATTAACACTAAATATGGTTCATTTGTAATAATTGCATCAATTTGTCTCTCAAAAATCTTATTAGATAACTATTAATAATAGCTGATTAGAGACCACCCAAAATTATGGAGCAAACTTCAGAGAGATGTAAAAATATTCATTGGAACGCACCTCGTACAACTCTCACTTGAAATTCCAATCGACAATTTCAACGCTCGCGCCTTCTTCATTTTCAATTATTCGAGGCGATTAAACTTCTATATTTGGAAGATAAATCGGCGATTTTAGAAATTCAAATTTCTTCAAACGCATGAGGAGAGAAAGGAGTGTTATACATTTCGTTTTGTACGCGGCTAATTTGCGAATCGCGTTTGTTGCAGCCACATCGATGCGAATAAAACCGGCTGATAATTTCGAAAATGAACGGTAATTCGAATATACCATTGAGGAAGACGTTCAACAGGCAAACGTCGAATTCCAAAATACCCGTTAACGATCAAACCCAAAGATGGAAATACAAATACGAGGAAGCCGAAGAAAAGAGGAAATCGCTGTTAACACAAAAAGAAAAAGGTAAAAATTATTTAATTTTATTAATGTTTCTTATTATTAATATGCCGAATTTCCAGCTCTCAGAAGTTTGAACGACATAGAAAAGAAGTACTTGAACTTGCAAATCAAACACGAACACTTAGAAACGGAATTATTCGAAAAAAATGAGGAATTCACCAAATTATCGACGGCATCTAAAAACCTCTACAAAGAATACGAAACGTTGAAGAACCAATACGAGACCGAAACTCGGGCTATGTCAGGGTAAGTTGCAAATGTTCTTTTCTTTGTGTAAATATGTACAGGGCGACAGGAACTTTGAATTGCGATAAACTATGTCTTCAGCTATGTTTGCACAACTGTAAGTGTTTATAATTAAGTTAGCATCTTAGTGGACTTGCGGAATATTTGAGTACATTCCCGTCACACTGACAAACAAATATTTACATTTCACAAGCGATGGAATTTCGATTATTCACGAATTCCCCCAACAAATACGATTACCTGTCGTCGGTTCTGACCTTCGCCTTGTACGCCAATATGGACAGGAGAATATGGAGGTAAAAAAATCGAAACGCGCGGCGTCGAAACCGTCAAAATTAACGTCAAATCCGACATGAAATTCCACGAGGAAAAAATCGTGTTTTTCAGAGCGCTGAAGGACGCCTCGCAATGGTACAGGGAGAACAAGGAGCTGAAGCGCAGGACGCTGCTGCTGATGGACCGGGACGCCGTCGACGAGGGCGTCGACGCCGGCGACGGGGAGTCCACCAACTCGGAGGCCGAGCTGGAGAACCTGAACAAGACCATCAAGCAATTGAGCGCGGAAGTGGCCGAATTGCAAACGGAAGTCGACTCATTGAAGCAGGTGGAATTCCAAACGACCGAAGAGAATATCAAATTAACTGAAGTAAGTGACAACGCAAAAATCCACGACAGAAAACTGCGTTATTTTATTGGTAAAATAACACTGTTGAGGTCCCATCGGAGCACACCATTAATAATGTAAAGAATTTAAATTGTGGGCATTAAGAAATTTCACTTAAATCTTCTTAGAATTGCATTTAAATAATTTGTCTCTAATGGCTTATTTGTAGTTAAAATGTACAGGACAGGCTTCACCATTAAATTACTTACGCTATACACAAATACAATAAAACGAAAGTAATAGTGATTAAAAGTTGAGACAGCCCTGTAGAGTTTTGAAAGCTTAGGGTAATTACTTACTGGCTTGGGCGATAAAATTGCATTCGGGCTTCGGGTAGAACTTAAAAGAGTTACCAATTTCGTAAGAATGGTTAATAATTCAGCCGCGGTATTGCGTATCGAAAGTGATTTTTTAGAAGGAATGTGTAGGACTATAAATTCATCGGAGGAATATGCAAATGGATTGCAGGAGGTGACTAATAATATATTTATATTTTTTTAAACGCAATTTTTACTCTTATCTTGTAGAAAAACCGCTAAAATTTTGAATATTAATTTTTTTCAATCATTAGGAATTGGATGAAGAAAAGCAGCGAAACAATGAATTGTCATTACAATTAGCAGAACTGAGAAAAGAACACGAGCAAACGCTGAGGGTTTTAGACATGACGAAGAAGGAAATTATGGACCTGAGAGCGTTGGAAGAGGAACAAAGGACCAACCTGATTAATTTAAAGTAAGTTTTTCAGGCTCTATTTATACCCATTTGCTTCGTTAGCTAACTCTATTCGAAATCACCTGAGCACACGTGGAATTTACCAGTTTAAATAACTTTTGAATGTTTTTAGAAAAGAATCGGACAATCACAAACGCGAACGAAACGTTTTGAAGCACCAAAGCGCTTTAATCATCCAAGGTCTACAAGAAGACGGCGGTAAATACATGATGCTCATACAAGAAATCGAAGATTTGAAAAACACACTAGAAGAAGAACGAAACAGGCACGAGGAGGAAATAAATATGCTTCAAGTAAGTAAGATACAAATAAACATTCGAGAAAAAATACAGCAATATTTGTATATCTAACAGGAGCGACTCGAAGATCAAGACAACAACGCCCACATAGAGATCCTCGAAGAGAGATTGAAACTGGTCGAATCGGAATTGCTGCAGGCGAAGGAGCGCGCGGACAGAGCGGAAGAGAAGCTTAAAGCTTCGATGGTACCACCGCCGCCGCCGCCGCCGCCACCCATGCCGATGGTGCCGCCGCCGCCGCCGCCACCGTCCTGCGTCGACCCGCCCGTGGTGCCTCTGAGAAGGAGGAAAAGCAAAGTGGCTCTATCGGACTTGGCCGAATGCATAGGCGTTAAGGTGACTTTTTATTTAATAACTCGTAGGCGTGTTAAGTGGGACAAATTATGTGTTCGTTTTAAGCGCTTATGAATTAATGTAGTCTCGAATACAGGGTGTCCCAATTTCACGTTATACACAGTGTTTAAAGTAAGTTATTATTTTAGGAAAATATTGCGCAAGAGAAGAAACCACCTGCTCCTGGGGTTAACGAGGACATAATAAACGCGATTAAATCCGGCCAGTTTACGTTGAGGAAGGCGAAGAAGGAAAAGGAGAAGAAGGAGAACAAAGAACAACCGAAGGCGGTTTCTGAAATGCTCAATATTCTCGGTAGTTTAAGGAGAGCGCCTAAGAAACGCCAGAGTCAATTTTTCGGTGATGTGCAATTGTAGATGTCATTTGTACGTGCTTGTGTCTGTTTATAAATGTTAACCGCTAGTTTTGTATTTATCTATTTTATATGTATACTTGATAGTTGTAATTTTTATATTTTTTTGTTACAATAAAAACAATATTGTATAAAATCAAATATATTTGAAATCCTACTTAAAAGAAAATAGTAAAAATAGAATTTTATTTAAAACAGTAACATAAATTAATATGTAAACCAATAATTTAATCAAAAGTATAACAATTCTTAAACGTTTATTGAAGTATACATTAATCTAAAACATACATGATATGGATACAAATAACATTACAATATCAGTTACTACACAAGAAGGAACGGAAAAACCCAGCTACAATGGAGGAAAATTGTTTGCTTTGGTAATAAATATATGAATTTCGAATATTGACTAAAAAAAAAGAATTCTATCCTCATAAATCTAAATTAATTTTAATCGAAGACACCACAATTTCGAGGAGCCTTATGATGTATGTACACTAAGAAAAATACAAAGATTTATTTTTAATAATTTACGCATTATTTGGTATGGATTTACTCACTAAATAAAGACGAATTAAAATAATCCAGAACTAACTATGATTTTGCCTTACTAGCAATCGCCATACCGACACCGACGATAGCGCCAACAGCCAGTACAATACCGCCTGTCATGGCCATACCTACGAGTCCTTCTTTTTCCATTTTCTTCTTAATAGTTTGCTCCAGACTAACCACTTGCTGGTTTCCTACAATTATTACAAATTTATAATATTTCTACTAAGTATTAGTTATATTTTAATTTATAGTTCATAAATTATCAAAGCACACTGATTTGTTATCAACTGATAACGATTAAATTTAAACGTACCTGGTTCTATGGAAAGAAACGACCTTACATAGTTTAAGGCCTTAGAATACTCTTTTAACCTAGCACTACCGATAGCTAAATAATATAGGTAATCCCTCTGACCCTCCTCGTGCGTTTTATACAATTCCTCTAAAAGCATGATGCCCTTTTGAATATCAGCCGGGTATTTGCTTCGAACCAAACACCAGGCATACTCGAATTGCGCTTTGGGAGTCACGTCGTTTTTATACAGCTGTTCGTGGTAAATTTTTTCGAATTTCTACAAAAATATAAAACGTTTGCAAAATGTAGGAATGACAATATGTTAAAGGGAAGATTTGGGTTTTCTTTTCTCTTGCAATTAGCTGTTAATTACAGTAGTTTAATCGTCATTGTGTTTTTGAAAAACAATGTTAGCTGTGAGTCAGTAACTTATTAGCATTTTTTTGGGTAATAGTAATGCGTTTGATGGTGTAAAATTAGCTTGAAATGATCTGTTTTAATTACCTTTAAATCCTCTGGTTGGACTATTTCCGATAAAATGTCTGCCATTTTTCTAAACACAAAATACTAGTCGATTTTCGATTTCAGTTTTTCTTTTTGATAAAAATTCAAGTGTCAGCTCAATGTCAATGTCAAATTGATTTTTGTTCGGCGATTGACGTGACATCTATTGATTTCGAGTAAAAGTAAAATCGCAAAATTTGTGCGCAATTTATTCGTAAATAAATATAATGTGCGTAATAAAGTTGATTATATTGTTTTAAATAATTTTATAAAACGATTGAAATGTTTTTGTTAATGTTTAGTTGCTATTTATTAAAAAACTTAGTGGTCGAATGATGTAACAAAAAGAGGCCAATTTGCCGCCATTGGTTGACAAATAGAAGAATTGTAAGTTCGTAGTTCAAATTTACTAAAAATAGTTTATATCTACATCCTTATAACATTGCCAAGATAAAATAGAATAACAACCCACGCTAGTCATTGAACTGTTAACAAAAATAACAGCGGACATTTAAAACACTTCGAATATACCGCTTTATTGACACACAAAAACAAACGTCAAAACCGGCTGATTGTCAATTTACTTTCCGCATCGTCCACGTGAGCTAAGGAAAATTCCAGACGCAGTTTGTTTATTTTGGTTGTTGCGCTGTTACGTCTCCCTGTTTACCTAATACCTAATCCGCGTCTTATCAAATCGACGTTAAGGAAAAACACTCCAGTGATGGAAAGCACGTTCGAAAAGCTGAAAGAACTCGACCTGACCCGTGACGAAATAGAACGGTTCGGCGATGCGCTGAAAAAACCGGAATTCAGGAAGCTGCTGCACGACTACGTCGAGGAAATCAACGATCCCGAAAACAAGAAACTCTACGAGAAGGAGATCACCGAATTGGAACGGGAACGAGGCAACGACATCACTTTCATTCACCCCGAAGCGTGTTACGTGATCAAAACCAGCGTGAACGGCACCAAAAAAGCCTTCGTTAACATTTGCACCAACCAATTAGTGGAGAAACCGAGCTCTTCTCCGACCGTTAAAGATGGGGAGAGGGGCCTCACGTGGCGGCTGCCGCACTCCCTGTCCCCGCCGAGGGAGGATTTGGATAAAAAACACGTCCGTTGTCAGGTATTTGACGTCGTTTTCCACCCGGATACGATGCATTTAGCCAGCAAGAACCAAGCCTTTAGGGACATGGTGAACCGAACGGCGCTGGACGCTGTAGAAAAGAATTTCGACGTTACTTTGGACAAGAAGAATCTGAAATACCCGAAGCTTTCGTACAAAGGAGTCGCTCACCCCAGCGTCATCAAGAAGCCCTGCGAGAAGCCGGAACGTACACCCGAAGAAAAGGAGCTGTTTGAGCGTTTATTCCCGGCCGAAACGCCCGATGCAAGCCCTACGAAACCCAAGAAACCTACTAGAAAGACTGTAGATGATGAAAAATCTAGATACACTACACCACAGTATCTGATCAAGCACAGGAGTCACATTGAAATGGAGCAATTCACCGAACACAAAGAAGCCAAAATGAACGCTGCTATACCTAAAGAATTGATTGTCGAGGTGAATCTACCTCTGCTCAAATCATCCGCTGATATCGACTTGGATGTTACCAATAAAACCATACAATTAGTAAGCGAAAAGCCGGCTAAATATAAATTGAATCTTACTCTACCGTACCAAGTCAACGAGTCCATTGGCAACGCTAAATTCGATAAAGATAGAAAGAAATTAGTAATCGTCCTGCCTGTGAAACGTAACGCGGCTTCGATGGAGTTTAGTGATAGTGGCATCGAAAGTGACCAGTGCTCCCCCGGGACTCCCGAGTCCGAGGAAGAATCCGATAAACGTTTGGTGGAGGAAATCGAATCTACGCCCAGTGAAGTGGTCGAACCGGACAACAAACCGGTCGATTTTAGGACTCATTTCCTCGACGAAAACCTGCATTATAACCTGCCCGAATTTACCTGTCACGTGTTCGAAAATTGTATAGCATTTACCCTTAACGTTAAGAATGTAGACGAAAATTCCGTCGAGAAGGCATTCTGCGACGAGAATTCGTCTATTCGCTTGAAATTCACCAGCATCAGTTCCAGCTTTTATCCCACTCACTATACTTGTTACGTGAAACTTCCACAACATGTCATTAACATTGAAAGTACCACGGTCGAGGTTTGGGATAACAATGTAATACTACAAGTAATTGTTAATTGTGATAATCATATAGTATCTTATTTGTTCGGAAGTACTGAAGATGATCTAGTCGAGAAGTTTGTAGAGGAACCAGAGGTTATTAACAAGGTTCTCGAAGGAGGTGAAGATAAAAATGATTCCGAACAAACAGGTAATTGCCGTTTATAATATTGTGTATGTTCCATTAATAAAAGTAAAAATGTACTAGCGTTATTTCTTGGTATCTAATAAGAAAGTAACTCAAATAAAAATTAGTTTTAGAGCCATCGATACATGGAAATGAGCCGGAACAAAAACAGCAAAACGTAAAGGAACCAGCTCAAGAGAGGAAGGAAAGAAAGGATAGTTTCGAAGAGAACTGCGGTCCAAAACCAACGAAGGCCATCGACATCACGGGCACTTCGTACGAATCAAGCGGAGACGAGCTGAGCTGTAGCAGCTTCAGCCCTTCCAAGAACAAGGGCATTTTGAAGAGGTTCTCGTCCGGCCGGTTTTCGGTCGGCCGGAGTATATCCGAATCCAGCCTGGACAATTTCGTTTATTCCTCGGTGGAGAATTGCCACACCAGCCTGGATTCGGTCATACCCGAAGACGGGGAGGTCTCCTCCAGCGAGAAGAAAACCGTCAGGTTCAACGACGTCGTCATGAGCCAATTATTTAGGTATGCTAACGCTATTATGTAATGTAATTTAAATGCAACGATAGCGGATTTATCTAAAATTATCTCGTTTAATTTAACAACATAATTATACAATGTGCTTGCCGAGGAAAAGATAACGCAATGAAATTGTTTATGCGCGATTTTTATAACGTTTAAAACTGATTAAGCTAATGTTAATTTTATAGATAAATATACAGGGTACACCAGTAGTGCCTATTTATGAATGTATTTGGAAGATATTAAGGCTCTTCTTTTGAACCTTGTATACTCTTCTTTAGGACCTTGTATACTCTTCATTAGGACCTTGTATACTCTTCTTTAGAACGTTGTATACTCTTGTAGATTCTCCTAAGTCCAATTAAGCCCTTTGCTTGTTACAGATTGACTGACTTAATAATCTTATTGATCTCTTTTGGTGTTGTTTTAGGTCGAATTCGAGTATATTGGGTCAGAAGAAGAAGAACCAGAGGAAAGCGAGGAACAAGAAGCGCGCTTTGGAGCGCCGGCATAGCGAGAGCGAGGCCTCCGGGGACGAGAAGAAGGAGGGAGATCTGAGGGACTGCGATGATTTCAAGAAGAGCGAATGCTTCGAGAAGAAGGACGAGAACATTTTCCATTTGGAGGTCGATAATTGAAGGAGATTAGGTTCCCGAAAATCCCAGTGTATTTTTTAACACGATTCGTACGTAATTTTATTTGTTTTTAGTTACTTTTTCAGCATTTTATAAAACTATTTAGGTAATTGAAAATCGTTTGCACCGGATGAAAATATATGTAATTAATTAGTCGATTTGGATAAAGAAATGTGGTAATTAATCTGATGGTTATAGAGGTAGTACTAATTGGTTTGTTTGGATTAGTTTTTAAAGTACAAAAATATTATAAAATTACTAAATAATGCATGTGATATACATTTACATTTTGCTTTATATTATGTTTAATGAGTTTACTCAACGATTTTTAGATAATTGAAAATTTTGTATTCGTTTCTAGAATCAATAAAGTGTTTAAAAAAATAGTCCGAGGTCTTAATAAAAACGCCCATAAAGCTCGATTAGTTTACTTGATTTAAAAAACAGTAAATTTATCATAATTTAGCAATCGATGCTCGCATAGAAAAAGATCATGTTGACATATAAATAAACCATAACGCACATTGTTATGGAAAACGTCAATCATTTTTTCTTTGCCTGCAAACCAGCTCCAGCGTTGAATTTGAACAGAATTATATCACCATCTTCCACTACGTAGTTTCTGCCTTGTTGTCGGTATTTTCCTTAAAAAAACATATAAAAGCTCATAAAACAAAGCATTTTATACCAAAAACATTAAATATGTTAATAGGTGATGACATATGGTAAGAAATAAGAGGAAATAAGGTGCATGCAGAGTAAAATGAAACTTAACTGCTTTAATAACAATTCTTCTCAAACATTTCTTCACTTCAACTGGAATAAACTACACCCTACTTGTGATATTTTCGATGTAAATAAAATTGGAACCCGAATAAGCAATCTAAATTCGCAACAAATCCGGGCTAGGACGAGACAGGATAATGCAAATAAATCAGGAAAACGATGGGAAAAAAACTTACCGGCCGCTTTGCACGCCGCCTCGCTGCCCTCTTCTTTGAAATCGTTGAATTTCATGACCTCGGCCATAATGAAACCTTTCTCGAAGTCGGTGTGTATGCGCCCGGCAGCCTGCGGAGCTTTCGTTCCTTTCTACAACACAAACAGCTTTTAATTTCGACGTTTAGATGGCGCCGGCTTCATGATAACTGATGATGGCCGAGTAGCTTGCGAAACTAAGCTCGAATATACCGGTACTTTCACCTCTAAGTTAAGCTCTGGATGGCTCTGGATAACTATTAATAACAAGTAATTTTGTTGTATTGTTAGAGATTAGAGGTCTATTAAATAGAGGTGAAAATCGGTTATTAAGCGACTAAGAATATACAGAGCTGAAGGAAAAATGGTACGACATTGCTTTTTCTAAAAACCAAAATTATTTTTATAATCCTCATTTATTTTGGAGCAAATTCGTTCCGAAGACTTACTTTCGTACGACGCACCATTTTCGCGTAAAAAAATAAAAACCTAAATATTTTTTCCCAAGTTCATTGAGACTGCTTTTGATATTTTGTTGAAATTTGGTAGGCGCCCACCATGCATGGAAACACTTTTTTTGGGAACAAAAATTAATTTTCTACTATTACCAATGACGTCCACGTCCAAAATTTCATAAAAATATCTGGAGTAATAAGAAAATGATGATAGAAAAGTTATTTTTTTCTAAAACTATAACACTTTGTAGCTCGAAAAGCGAAAAGCGAAAATAACTTCAACTGTGAAGACATCATTCCCTCAAGCCCGTGATTAATTCACCGAACAATGATTTCCCATGATCATCCAATACAATTTACATGAAATAAAAAATCGTCAGTTTTTCGCCATTCCCGGAACCATTTTCGCCCCCCTTTTTTTGATCAAACCCTCTCGACGCAAAAAATACGGTTTCGCCCGGTGTCCTTTATTATCGCGAAATATTCCGCGAAACGGGCGCAGCGAAATTGCTACACGAACAAAAATAATAATAAAAAAAAAGTCTTCGACAACCCCCATTTTAACTGCCGATGCGAAACGTAAATAAATTACCCGTGCCCTGAAATTGTCTCCGGAGTCGATTTGCATAAGAATGCCCTCTCCATCTCCCGAATGCCCCGAAAACCGGCGTGCCGGAAAAATAGAAATGATGGAAAACGACGAGACTAAATTTTCATGGAATAATTTCCGAAAGCGGAACGCGCCCGACAAGCAGCTGGAATGGCGATGAGAGAGTTTTTTTATTATTATCTTCCATCAGCGTCGTACTTAGGAGATGTTTTATCGAATCTCAAATTGCGTAGAATGCAAATAATGAAATAAATACCTGTATAGTCCAAGCTTTAACTTCATCCGGTCCAGAAGTGAAGAAATATTCTAACTGCAACGTCTTGTATCCTTGTACTATAATTTTATCCAAAGCGCTGCAAAGGAATTTTGTATTTTTAAAAAAAGCCCCAAGAATTCGGTTTGTTAAATTTCGTCGGGTTCAATTTCCCCAAACTACATAATAATGATTTATTATGTGGCGTTTCATTTTTTTTCGGCAATCAGACGAGCGACTGTGCCATTCACAAACGCATTCAATTCATGAAAAATATCTCGCCGGGATCGGCCTCCTCCCATATTTAGACGTATTTAAGGCCATTCGAGTTTATTAAATCGACGACTAACGATCAAAAAGTGCGTTTTAATGATCCCAATTTCTGGAACCTTCGGACTGACGGTCCTTAAAGACGTCAACAGGTATAAAAATTAGTTTTATTGCTCTCCTCTGAGATTGGACACCAAAATACGGTATATAATCTGCATTTTATATACAAGCGCATTATTGCATATTTTTATGATTGATATAATGCATTCTGCAGTGGTAAAATATATTTTTTATATGGAGACTTAAAAGGGGTTTTTAATTGTTTATAGGTAAATTGGGCGCAATATTAAAGGTAAAAAAGGGCAATATTATTTGGGTTCATTGCAAACTTTAGAAATAATTTTAATTTCTTTTATCTAAACTATATATTAATAATAGAATATTAATTTTAATTATTTTATGTTGATAAATATGGAAAGTTTCCTTGGGCAATGCACCGGAATTCCCCAACAAAATAATAAAACCCATTTTGGGCTGTACTGAGAGGAGTAGGATAGGGTGAATTGTACATTTGTAAGTCAATTATCAAAATTATTATATTATAGCAAAAATAATCCATTTTGCGCCCAAATTACCTGTCGGAATAAAAAAACTTTAATTCCGAACGCCCAATTTATGTGTAAGATTAAAATATACAATCCCTTTTGCGCCCAATTTACCTGCAAGATTAAAATCTATAATCCCTTTTGCGTCCAATTTACCTACAAGATTAAAATCTATAATCAATTTTTGCCTAATTTACCTGTAAGATTAAAATCTATAATACCTTTTGCGCCCAATTTACATTCGTTTTGTGTCTTCGAAACATACAAAATGATTATAAAAATTATTAGTTACATTTACAATAAAAAAATAATAATTTATAGTCACTGGGTGTTTGAGCCGACGAAATTAACAAAACCATTGAATATATTCAACTTTACAACGTTCGATGGACGGGACGATTCATTCAACCGCATTTGAATCCTCCCACGTATAGAATCGTATTTTCCCGTTCATTTCGTCTCGATTTTCGATTCCTCGTACGTCGTCACAATGGAAAAATTAAAGTTAATGGCAATAATGGCGTCCGCACTCTCAGGAGGTATATATTTTTTTTGTGTTCGGCCCGAAGAACGACCTGGATTGAGGATAGATTTCGATCTAACGAAACCTGTTATTACCGGGCCCAAAATACGACGTGGACGTGGTCGGAAATCGAAATGAATTTGTCATTTTATCGCTTTGTTTTTAATGAGATCGGATGAAATTCGCGAGAAAATTGATTTCGAAACCGATTCGAATCTTGCGGCATTTTTCCTTTGTTCGACCACTGAAAGCTTTCACAATATTAGTACGATTTAGTGTTTAATTTTTAATGTCACGCAAATCCGTTTTCTTACTTAATATGCCACATTAAACGTTTTCTACCAGGCGGTGATAATGGAAAAATCCGCAAGAGTGGAAAAAAATACTTTTCCGATGTATTTATTCATGCCCAACACGAAGTTCGATGAAAAGAAAAACACATCGAACATGCGATTAGATTAAGATTTTTTCCCCTTCGCATTGAATAAATTTAATGACACGTGGTTTAGTTGTCTACGTAATATTAAAATAGAAATTAAACAAATTACATACCTCGAAGTGTTGTTGTCTTCGAGGAACTTCTTTCTCAACGCCGGATCCTCGTATTCCTCGACCAATTTGTGCTCGAAGACGCCGGAAAAGGGTATAATAACGGAGCCGGGATCGTTTTTGTCAACCCACTCTTTAATTTTAATTAACCTGTTAACAAAAAAAGAAACGCACAAATCAACAACCGTCTCGTATTGTCCGTTTTTTTACGTTCGTCGAACATATGTCGATTTTTCTTGTTATGAAACACAATGAAACTCCTAACCGGCGCGGCGTCGGAGTACAAAAGACGACCGCAGAAAATACGTAGGAATCGTTAAAATTGACATGTTGTTATTATCGTGTATTTCGAAGATCCGATTGAGGAATAACAAACAACGCATATAGGTCAAACTGAAAACGTATAGGTAAATATTACCCAATTGTCGGTTAAATAACTCTAGAATATTGGGTACAGGTTAACCACAGGTAATTATAGATAGAAATTTCTACGAGGGTAGGGTGAAAATTTCTCGTCCTGAATCATTTAGAACAATCTAGCTCCAGAATCAATTACAACTATTTATAGAAACTGCTTAGAACAATTTAGAACGCTCCAGAATCATTTAGAATGGTCTAGAACCATTTAGAACGCTACAGAAACATTTAAAACTGTCTAAAACCATTTAGAACGCTGCAGAAACATTTAAAACTGTTTAAAACCATTTAGAAGGCTCCAGAATCATCTAAAATTGTCTAGAACAATTTAGAACTGTGCAGGAATATGAAGAACTGTCTAGAAGAAATTAGAACGCGGCAGAAACATTTAGAACTGTTTTAAACCGTTTAGAAGGCTCCAGAATCATTGGAACTGTCTAAAACAATTGGAACTTTGGAGGAACATGTAGAACTGTCTAGAAGTTATTAGAACGCTCCAGAAACATTTAGAACTGTTTAGAACGCTTCAAAATCATTTAGAACTGTCTAGAACCATTTAGAACGCTCCAGAAACATTTAATACTGTCTAAAACCATCTAAAACTCTCCAGGAACATTTAGAACTGTATAGAACTATTTATAACGCTTCGAATTCAATTAGAACTGTCTTGAACTAAATATTATGACTTAATAAAAGTAATAATGTAATTTTTAACTGAAAATCGAGGTCTATCATTAACGGATCGAAAACTTTTCACCTTACCCTTTTACTGGTCGTTTCTTATACATTTTCCTGTATCTAAACAATATTTTCAATATTTCCATTAACCGATCAATCGAGGGCCATTAGAGTAATTACCGTCGACGCCCTTGTTTCAACAACAAGAAGCGAAGCTAATTGAACTATTCGCGAGTACGTACGTACCATGTACCGACCGATATAATGGTCTCTGATTGACTTTGATCTGACCGCCGGGAACCCGATCAATTCCCTCTTAATTCGGCATTCAACGCCGGTAAGTCACGTCAAGTGCGGCCGGGAGAAGGACGGGCGTTCGGGCGAAAGAGGAGAGAATAGCAAGAGACCGAGCTATTTAAACATAGAAGGACTTAATTATCTCGATCGATGATTAGGTGATTAAGTGACGGATGTGTCTGTGTCGAGCTGACACAATGCGGCGTTCGGTTTGCGTTGTATGGAATGGATAATTAAGTGTTTTCGATTGATTATACAGTCGAAAGGGGGGTGAATATAATACGAGGTAAAAGTATAGATGAAGATAATTTTATGTACTTACCATTTGTTCTTCCTCTTGATGTAATCTTTCTCTGAGAGATTGATTAAATAAACGGCTGGTTTTGATGTTAAAAATAGATATTTGTTCAATACTTCAATCTGTGAAATAGATAAAAAAGTAGCACATAATTTTAATATTTTACAAATTGGAAGTAATTATTATTTTTATTCATACATTCTGGTATCATTAATATTTCCTATCTCGATCGCAACCCATCCAAGAATGACTGTTAACAATGCTAATGTGGTATAATAATATCACCACCCAGTGATCGCCTTTGTGGTTAATAGCACTGAGACACCGTCTGCGTGCTTTTTTCCTCTTCGTCCTCTCGTTCGCTCAGCGGGGAATTCCTTTACACGCACCTCATAATAAAATGAAAATACTCTTCGACGTCGCGGTGACTGGCGCATTCTCCAACGTCGATTTATCATGTGATTTTTTTAATTCCTTGTGACGTACCGTTGATTTTGTGTATTTGAATTTTAATTGAATACCAGCGTGACATTAAATACTGGATAATGCACGGTGTTTTTTTTTTATACTTGCGTACGAGGGTTAGTTAGGATGTATTTAGAAGTCATTGTGGAGTAAAATTAAAAAAAAAACTTACATCTTTGGCGTCCCAGTCGGCGAAACGAATGTGCTTCTTCTCTTCGGACAGAACGTTCTTAATTTTCATTAAAGTGTCCTGTAGAGAAATATTTGAGTAATTGAAGACTTAGAATGCATCAAAATCGTACTAATCTTATTGTACGAGAATATGTGAGACTTTAAGTTGCGTACGATGATATATAAACAAAAAGAAACTGCCAAAATTGTCAAAATAGAGCTGGAAATCGATTTTATGGTATAGAGATGTTGTTACTACTGTTACTAAATAACTGTTCATTTTTCGTATTCAAATACACTTTTTGCATATTTAATATTTTCTGTTGTAATGAACAAGGGTAGAATAAATGGTAATATTGTCCGATTTAGTTTACAAGTGGGGCAACACCTGGCCGGTGTCCCCCCCGGAGCGCGCGTTACCGCCCTAACCCGCCCCCATATTACGACCCGTGCCCGGTACGATCTTAACACCGCACCGACCTGTCACAAGATTGTATCAAAAACGTATTAAATGATATTCGATTCTTTTTTTATGAATTAATTTGTGCTTAGTAATGTCAGGTTTCATTCAACTAACAAGTACAAGATTTTTATCTGGTAAACTTTACGAGGAGTGTGTTTAATTAAATAGATGTTTCGACATTCGAAAGGATAAGTAATTCACAAATTCGCGATTTCGAAGGGATATGTGCATAGATTTCGTGTATTAGTGCGTTGGAAACCATAATTTTTCTATTGAAAGTCGACAGTACGGACGTTCAATCAATCAAATCGTAAAAATCAATGACGTGACATAAAACATTTACCTGTTTTGCATTCGACAGCATGATGACTTGCAATGATTTTCGAAAAAAAAAATCTAACAATCACAATGTTATGAAAATGAGAAGCGCATGCGTCTTGTGTGGTCTCGTACTTAGCGATGCAAACGTACAATAATAATTAACCGATTGTATCAAACCATTAATTATCTCAAAAATGATTAATTAAAGTTTATTTTCCAAAAATTTTTTCATAAAACTATAACCCAGAAGACGTTACTGACTATACTAATTAATCATTAATAACTAATAGAATACTTACATGTTCCGGTTTGAGTTTCTTATCGCCACCCCTGCCGACGACCTTTTCCAGCTTCTCCAGGTTCTTCTCCAGCGTTTCCTCGTCCTTCAAACGAAGCTCCTCGAAGATGATCTCCAAATCTCGAACGGGGTTCACGTCGCCCTCCACGTGCGTCACGTCGTCGTCTTCGAAAGCTCCTGGAGGTAATTTTTGATGCAATTTTGTCCTATTGGAACGAACGTTACTTACTGCACAAGTGAAATATGGCGTCGCAGGCGCTGATGTGGGAGAGGAAAGCGTTTCCTAAACCCTGTCCTTCGGACGCTCCTTTGACTAGACCGGCGATGTCCACAATGTTTAGGAATGCCGGGACTTTACTGGAATAAATTAGGGACGTCACCAAAGAGATTGTAGAGGAGTGGTTGGTATACAAAAAAAATCAACAAGCCGCCTAAATTGGATTTCTTGGGACGGCATTAGAAATGAAAACACAAAAATTTTTCGAATGCTCGCCTAATAATAGAGGTAATCGATACTGATGACCCGTTCGATCGATTTTATTAAATCGAAAACCGACTGCCGAATATCAATTTGGTCCGTAGACGAACTACATAATAAAAGACTTCCTAACGGTAGTTTCGGTTTTATACGCCGAATAAAATTAACATCGAAAAAACATAATCAAAAATGTATCAATTTTGGTTCTCACGGCCATCGAGGCGCCTTCAAATTGGCAGCCCTTATTAGAGCCGATTACGAGTTTTTATTGGTTTTCCTTAGGTATATTTCGGAATATTAGAAAGGTTATATCCAAATTGAATTCGATTTTTTTAGCTAACAACTCGAATTTGTAGTCTCTAATGACTAATTACACTGTATAAATTATTATACATTAAAATGTTTATAGGAACACTTGTGTGTTTAAAATGAGCTGTGGGTTCTGTGCCAAATAAACTTTACTGGATAATTCTCTAAAGCTCGATAACCGAAATGTCCTCAAGCCCTGGAGGTGGATTTATAAAGGACAAAGTCATCAAGCACAATTTCGGAAAGGCGTTAGACGGTCGCCTCGAGGGCTCCAGCTCGGCCGGGGCCGCATAACCTTTTTAAGATAGCTTCTTTTTTTTAATAATTCAAAATTACTAAATCGAAAACAAATTACAGACCGACCGTCGGTCCAATTTGTCTCATAACATTCAATTTCTATCATTAAACGTAGTTTCCCATTTCTCGACCGTGGCCGAACAGCCGAAGATCTCCCTTCGAGCATGCAATTTACTTTTAAATGACAGCGGGCATTATAACAAACTTAAAAAAAAGCGAAATATTACAGGTATTTCGCGTAGGCGATCGTTAAATTTTATACGACGGTTATTTTTCAATAATATACCTAATAATACATTCTATTTAACCTTTCTACAGGAGCACAAGGAAACGTATTCTTCACAAAAATTTCGATTCATCTTACAAAAAAAAAACTTGCATATCTAGATCATTTAGTACAATAATACTTTCGCAATACGTGCAAAAGTTAATTTATTTGGTACACAGTGTAACGTTAAAATTACCCTGCGAACAAAAGTTTTTAAAAGAACCGTCGATTTTACTGGAGGCGATTCACGAATCTAATTTTCTATATCTCGAAATGAATCGATCGGAATCGAGCGGATCCCTAAAGTGATCACTTATCGAAATTGACGAGTATTATTGTATTGGCTATATTGTTATTTTCTATACTTATTGTCAAGCGTGTCTCGTGTTGGTTCTAACGGTCGCACGAAGAGGAAATTAATTTTCTTTTCGATTGAACCGACAATTTTTCTAGAGTGGAGATTATTTAATAAAATTAAAATGACAGGGTGGTTGAAGAGGACAGGCCCATTTTAAGATTTCAAAATGACAGAGGAGGGTATGGAAAATTGGTCGTTTTATGCCTATAAAATTATGGCTGTTTAGTTGAAAAACGTCCCATAAAATATTTTAAATTATTATTATTTTCATCAATTTTTCAAATTGAACATTTACATGAGTTAAAAAATAGTTCAAATAAAATATTCCACTATTTTAGTGTTACATAAATTACAAATTATGTTTGTTGCAAGTATTTATAAGGCTTCTGACAGACATTTTCTACTTAGTTGACTTTCATTAGATAGTATTTGTATACAAAAAAAACAGGAGAACGCCCTGTACATAATTAGTAAAAACTCTTTTTCTTGACTTACCTGAGTGGTTTGAAGTAGTCGCAGAGAAAATCAAATCTCTCATCCGGAACAGGAACCCTACGTATAAAAAAACTTATAAGTAACTATAAAAATATTAAAGAATTATTCTTTTTCAATACAACTATGTATGTATAAGAACTCGAATGTCTTTTCTATATGAAAATAAATTGAGCATTTACACTAACTAGTGCATAAAATGAAATAATTTTCGAACAATTTATTATGTAAGACGTAGTTCGCGAGCTATTCCTGTCAATAAAACGTTCAGAAACAAGTCAAAATGACTACCGAAGCGTTGAAAAATATAAAAAGAAATTATTACATAAAAGAACCGAGCGATATAGCGGACTTTATACCCGATGGCGGCGTTTTGATGAACGAGGATTTTTGGAAGCATTGCAGAGACGTGAAATTGGACGATATTCAATCGGTGAGCGCACCGGAATTGCGCGAATGGTACCCTTTAGTGAACTCGTACTACCCCTATGGAAGCGTATCGGATCACTTGGAAAGGGTGCAGCACCTGCTCGATCTCAAGCCGCACACCATGCCCTATTTCAAATCGGAGGAGGACGAGGAAGACGAAAGCGTGTTCCACTACAACGAAATCGAATCGCAAATAGCTTATTTGGAGTCGCAGCCTTTGTGTTTCCTGATCCTAGGCAAACCCGGCATGCACCAGGAGGAGCTGGGCAAAAAACTGGCCGATGAGTGGCAATGCGTTTACATCGAACCGCAAACGCTCATCGAGCAGGAAATCGAATGCCGGACCAGGACGGGCCAGTGCATTGAATTCAATTTGAGGCTCGGTAGGTCCATTGGGATCGATGTTATATTGAGGTTGATCAAGAAAAGAGTTAAATCCGAATCCGCTAAACATCGAGGATACGTCATTTGCGGTTTACCGTTGATTCCAGCTTACTTTCACAAATCCGAACCCATATCGTCCGAATCTGCTGTATTTACCGCTAAAGATCTAATCACAGATATATTAGACGATAAGAGGTTCAAATTCGTTAAGAAGGCGGAGAAAGAGGAGGAGGAAAAAACTACCACATATTTTTTCGAAGAACCGACCATACCATTAGATTTAGGCGACGATTTAGACGTTTGCCATCCGCCAGAAATTAATACCAATTATGACGGCCAATTAGACTTCATATTCGATCTCATGCATCAGCCGTTTATGCTCATCTACATGCTATGCGGTCCGCGAGATTGCATACTTAGGAGGAAAAATTTGCTCTTCCACGTGTACACCAACACCGACATCGATTTGGTCAAAGAAAACACCAATAAACTATTGTACAATTTCTACATGCGCACTCCAGAAGTTTTCAGCGAAGTACCTTTAGAGGTGTTCGAATCCTATTTCCACGACGTGATGTTAGAGAGCAGGAATTTAAAGCATTTAGTCGTACTACCGAGAAACTTTCCAGCTAATATCGAAAACCAATTGGACTCCTACTACCACACGTTAATCAATTATTTGGAAAAGAAAATCATGATACACGATCCTCAATACTTCCTAAAAATAGACGGTCGCACCAGCACGAGAAGAATGCTCTACATAATCTTCAATAGGCTCTCGATCCTACCGATATATCGCGTAGCCATACCGCACCTCATCGACCAGCACTTGGAATATCTAGCGTTGGACACGAACCAAGATGAAACGCTAGAAGGGAAAGATACGATAATAGATGAATCCGCAGAAGGCCAGACGCACGAAGAAGAGAAACAAAGCGCTTTCCCGGCACCCCCAGACAACATGACTCGTTACGAAGCTGTGCGAAATATGGGCATACTGGCCGATCACTTCAAATGGCACTGGTCTAATTGGAAGAGGATATGCCCTGTTGCGTTGGAAGGAGGCCAAGTCAAAAGAGGTGATCCGAATTTCGCCGTAAACTTCATGAACAAGATCTTTTTTATGTCCGACAAGGACGCGTATTTGAAATTTTACAGGAATCCGAGGAACTATTTAAAGGGCATGACGCCCACCAAAGCATGCAAGTTCTTTATTATGGGTCCATCGGCGTCCGGTAAAACGGCGGTTTCTACTTGCTTAAGTTACATATTTGACGCAACTATAATAAGAACTGGTAAGATGCACTTTTATTCCAATAATACTTCAAAAAGCAACTAGATTATTTTTGAGAAGTTGGAAATTGGTGCGCCTCAACAGTACACTTTTAAATTTAAGAAAAATAAAACCAAAGAATTCTAACAGTGTAGTTGTTCAATAATTTCCAACTACTCAAATAGGATGTTTCTGTAATACATTAATCTATTTGTCCATTAGACTTGGTGGATAAGGATTTGTACGAAAGAACAGAAAAAGAATTTTACGAAAACGTCAGAATACAAGCATTGGAAGAAGCTTTAAACATACTAAACGAAAAACGAAGACAAGAAGCACAAGAATTGGAAAACCAACGAGTCGAAAACATCAAAACGTGGTTAACCGAAGTAAAAGAATTAATAGGAATACTCAAGCAATTGATGATTGAAAGGGAAAACGAATTAAAGGGCGAAACCAAATTCGAATTGTCTTCTTTTCCCATGGCGATGGCGACGGTAAAAGTAACAGATCTAGAAACCGAAGTTACTATAGCCATCAGACAAACCTTAGACGAATTGACTAATAAAAATATTCCACCCAATGAACCTCAACATTATATGAAATTGCTACATAACCAAAACAAATTACTTTCTTATCTACCTGCCCAATGGAAGAAAAAGTTTGTGCCACAACCAGCTCTACCCGACGATAGTTTTGTCATTGAATACGTGGAAAACGCAGTATCCAAAGCCGTGTTCAAGGGATTCGAGGAGGTCTTACTGGAAAACACCATCAACAAATTGGTGAATTCCTTGCGGGAAGTCGAAGAAGAGGCGAAAGAGCTGGGCAAAATACGCGGCTCGTGGATAGTAGACGGATTGCAAAACGATCTGTCAATCATAAAAGGCGTATGCGCGGCTTACACGCCGGACCACGTGATCGTCCTGAAGGACATCGACGAATGCTATTTCCTCAGGAAGCGGTACAAAAAGAGAGGCGCCAACCGGTTCAAGGACTACAGAGAATTCTTCGCGAGCATCGACAGAGCGGACGCCGCCCTGAAATCGCCATCGCAGGAAGAATTCGACGTCGATCTAGTCATCAGGGACATCATGTCCGAGATATTCGACCATCCTAAATTAGACGGAAAGTTCAAAGGGAAACTGTTGAGAGACGAACGCTACCACCAAGAATTGATCAAATTCAACGAGAATTGGTACGAAATCGCCGACTATTTCGAACAAAACGCTATCGAGCTCATGGAAGTGCAGGTTACGAACAAATCCATACCGGATCTGATGAAGGAGGTGCTGAAGAGGATCGACGATTTCTACAAGCTGATACCGAATCCTTTGACCGATCGAGAAAAAGAGGCGGAGAGAGTAAAAATAGTTCAAATGACTGTAACTAATGAAACTATCGAAGACGACGACGACGAAATGACGACTATACTAGAACCCCAAACGGAAAACGAGCCCGAAATAATCCGGCGTTACGGAGATACATATCATTTTTGTCCGGTTACTTTTGCAGGTAAATTTACAGAATTTACAGTAGTTTTGTAATAAGAGGTTTCCTGTATGTTCTTTGATTGAACCTAATTATTATTGTTTTTTAGAATACTGGGTTTTATGGAAAGGCAAAGAAGAATTCGCAGTGAAATACCATGATAACATTTATCTATTGAGCACGCAAAAAAATTACGATAAATTTCTTTTCTCTCCTGATGAATTCTTGCCGGGAAAACCGCCGGAAAAACTCCCGCCGCCCAGAATATGCATCATCGGCCTGCCTTACACCGGAAAGACCGCTTTGGCCAAAGCACTGGCGGACAATTACGGCATCGAGTACATCAGTTACGAAAACATGATTAAACATGAGTTCGGATTGAAGGCGAACGATACGTTCGAGCAATTGAGGAGCCAGGTGTACGTCCCCAAACATTTGAACGATTACCTGACGGAAAACGCTCCGTTATCGGATAATTTCTACGCCAAGAAAGTCGGCAGCCTCTGGTTCCACAAGCCCACGAGAGAGCTCGGTTTCGTCATCGACGACTTTCCTAAACGACCCTGCGACATCGACTTCATGATCGAATTGAAACTCATACCGGACATAATTATCGAAGTGAAACAGAATCACTACGAATTGCAAAGGAGAATGATCAACGATCGCTTGGACAAATGGGAGAAGAACCTGTCGGATTACGTGTCTCGGACGGAGAACGAATTCAAAGAGCTGATGAAGGAGTGGGAGGAGAACCTGCCGAAGAAGTTCGAGGCGATGTTGGAGGAGAAACGCGAGGCCAGGTACGCGCAGAAGATGAAAAAAGCCAAGAAAGCGGGCAAGTCGCAGTCGCAGGTTAGTTTCGATTCTCTCGCCGATCAAAGGGATATCGACGAGATAAATCGAACGCTGGAACAAACAATGCCCACGTTCGTACCGGGACCCGTGGAAACCGTTAGCGAAATGGAAATTAAATTAACCAGCGATATCCAAGAATACTTGGAAATGGAATCTAATTATTTATCGCTCACCATAGACCAAATTAACGAAGAAAAATTACCTTACGAAACACTAGCTATTGATGTTACCGATTACGAAAAGAACCTTCGGCAGATTTACTGTTTAACCGAGGAGTATAAGTACAGGAACATTTCCCATTTCGAAAGTTGCACGGACATTAATTTCGAACTGGCGGAAAAATTTCTGGAATACGGCTACTACTTTCTGAGCAAATTCGGAAAAATTTGCCCAGTGGGATATAACAAAAAAAAGAATCCTCTATTAAGGCACCCGGTGATGAAGAAACACCACAACATTTTCCCGGTAATCCACCGAAACTACATCTATTTCATCGACGGCGAGGAAAGCCTCACGCTGTTCAAGAACAACCCTCTTTACTACATCGACATCGACAAGGTAGAATATCCGATAATGCCAATAAAAGTAGCCGTTACGGGTCCACCGAAATGCGGCAAAACAACTTTGGCCAACAGAATTTCGCAGGAATACGAAATGAAAACCATATCGCGCGGTAAAGCCATCAGATACGTACTCTGGTTCTTGCCCTTCTCCAATCTAGCCGTCACCATGGAGAGAGTGCTGAGAAAAGGCTGGGAGGTCACCGACGAAATGGTCTCTAAATGCGTCGAAGCCGCCATTGTTAGCGCCCGGGGAAGTACCTACGGTAATATTTTCAAATTCCTGACCAAATATAGACGACTTTATCCATCTCTAATTTCAGGCGTTGTCTTCGACGGGTTTCCCAACACCATCTCCGAAACCAGACACATGTCCTACTACGGTTTGCTTCCGCAACTAGTCATCGACATTCAAGCGACCACCGATCAGACTCTCGAGTGTTATACGCGCGACGTCGGCCGACGCGGTTTCCCCAAATACGGCGTCGAATTCATCAAGCATTTGCGCTCCGAATGGAAGACGTACGTCAACAAGTTCAAGTGCTGGTTCGACAGGGAATACCAGCTGATGTATAAAATATCGATCGAGCCGAGCATGTGGTCGATCTGGCATCAGTCCAACGAGATTATCAAGAACGTGGCGGTCGAGAATCGGTGTTACGTTGTGAATTGTTACAAAAATTGGCCGCTGCGATTGTCCTACATGCAAGTGACGCCTCTGGAATTTATGGAGAGGAAAAGCGCGTACGATTCGTTTTGCCCTTGTTGCTATCTTTTGGATGATGTTTTAACTACCGGCGGTTCGCCTCCGGATAGGACCGGTTTGGTGCAATGGAGAAACTATTACTATTGGATATGCAACAAACATTTCGATTGGTTTTTGAAGACGCCAGATAATTATGTGCCGCCCTATGGTAGACCACCGCCGGAACATTTACCTACTGTGTTAACTATAAGGAATTCCCAGCCGAAGAATCTCTTCGAAGACGGTTATTGCGCTACTTGCTTTAGAGGAAAAACCACACTGGTCAAGGGCGTCATTGAGTTGGCTATTTATTATAACGACAAAACTTACTTGTTTGATAGTCGCGAGTGTTTGGAGGAATTCCTTAAACATCCAATGAAGTATTGTTTCAACATCAGTTTCAGGCCGCCCGATAATTACCCGACACTCGAATACAAAGAGCTACCAGTGCTGGGTATGTTAGAACAGTATTTAGCTAAAGACGTTATCAAAGCTGTGCAATTTGTGTCCAGAAGGCGACCGGTAATACCGGGACTAACTGTAATGGTATCGGCTGCGATCGGTATCGGTTTATTTTTAAAAGTTAACAATTCCAAACTGCCATTGGAATACGTACAAGAATATAAGCTATCCCAAGACACGTATTACGGAAGAAGGAAAAAACTAATCGATTATTTGGCTAGAATGAAGTCAGTAATCAATCCGTATTTGCACTACGAGGAACCCTTACCCCCCTTCCGCTACATTGCATCCAGCAAAACGAGCTCTATCAGCACTTACACGTACTTTTCGCAAGTCGTTAGCGAATTGGTAGATAATGTCGTTAAAGACGATGAAACAGATAACGAATATATCTTAGATTGATGTTCGTTTTGTGATTGTTCACCGTTATGTAATAATAATGATATTAAATTAAAAAAATACTTATTTTCATTCGGATCGATGGTGCAGAAAGGGAAATTTTCGGCTGCGGCCGAGCTCTTGGTCAAAACGTTGAAGAAGGTGGATTTACCGACATTAGGAACACCGACAATTCCGACTTTGAGGTTTGTCCCTACTCTGCCGATTAGCGGCCGACGTTCGGGTTCTTGTACCTTTTTCGGAGGCATTCTGAAACAAAAAATATATGGGTAAATGCAAAAAGTGTCTTGTAATATGTTAATTCTATGACTTCAACAAGAAACAGATTTTTAAAATAGTACTGTTTACAGTAAGAAAGTTGCAATCACACAATATCACTCTTTCTTTATAAGGGACTAATGGAAGTTGGTTTTGTTGCACCCATAGCCTATATACAAACAAATTTGCATCTACCTGTATATACAACACATTTTTAAAGGCACAATACCAACCTTTTTTGACAAATAAAAAAACCATTTCTTGTACTAGAAACTTAGTAAAATATCTGAAATTTTGGTTTGTAAAGGCACCCAATTAGATGGTAGTCTACTTTGTTTTTATCTACTTTGAAGACCACAAACAAGTAAAAAACACCACCCCATATTACAGAGTTCACCCTGCACCGTTTACGAAATCCAAACTGGATAATACCAATGTACCAGATATTCAAATTTCAGCATTTTAATCGCAATAATAACACACATCACGGCCGGCAACTTAATTTCCACAAAATAGCAATTTTCAATCTGATATCGAAATCGTAACGTGCATTATATATTTTCTACTCTCGGGGGCCCAATGGGGGCATTTTAAAACCGCCTCTAATCACAACGTAAATGCGAACGAAGCCGGCAATTTCGAATTTACCATCAATTGCTGGCCGATATTAATATAATTTTACATACTACCCAGCCTTCGGGGTACGTATTCTCAGAATAATAATTTCGGAATTTCCAGGGATTTAATGTATAGTTTTATGCACTCATTAAAATCAACTTGGACAAAAATTCGAGAGTAAATGTAGCGCAAAGATGTTATTTCAAAAAATACCGCGAACCGATTGCGCCACTGACTAATAGATGGCGCTGGCGATTTCATGCCATGTGCCATGTTCAGTCTGATTAATTTACTGTTAATACTTATAATTTCATTTCTTGCTTAATTTTACGGAATTAAATGAGTTTATTTTAATTTATATATTGTAAAAACGATTACCAAAGGATTAGTAACACTAATAATTCGGTACAAGCTGGTTTGCTTAGTAGGTTTTCGGATATGTGAAATGATCCTTATGTTCTAATTACTTTTACTAAGCACAGGTACATTAGAGAATAAAGAATTAACATGATTTTAGAAATACGTTCATGTTTAATAATTACCTTAGATTCTAACAGCAATCTGTTAAATTCGGTAAAATTTGTACACACACACTTTAACCTCACTTCTCTAACACAGGCACACAGAATGACAGAAATTATAGTGTGACAGATGGCGGATCTTAGAAAATATTCTTTTCAAAATGTGGCCTATACAGTCTAGGCAATCCAGTCCCGATAGAAAATATTTTACTTTTGTAAATAAATTCATACGTATAAAAATGCTGTAATAATAATGCTTGAAGATGTTCAATATATTTAATTATTGTTCTTACTACTTTATTTTGTATATTCTGTCAATATTTTTTTAATTTAAAATTCGTATATGAAAAGAACTGTAACTGTAATTTTAGTAATTTTAATAATCTTTCTTTGTTCCACTCATAGAAATGACCATGTTGCAATCGGAAATGGAGGTGTATAATATAGGCTGTGGGTGCGATAAAGACAACTTTCATATTAGACACTTATGTATATAAAGCAAAAAGAAAGAGTAATGTGTCATCCAATTTTTCTCTCCAATAATAAAATAAGCAATAATATAATAATATAAACAAGGACAATGTGACAGTTGACTTGACACACAATGTAGCCAACTGATACTTTAAATAATCCCAACAATTTGCACTTATCTGTATACAAATATGCTCTAGAACCGCAATGTCTCATTGAAGAGCTGAGCGGCCGAACTGCCACAAATATCATGTTAAACTGTTTTATTTCGAAAAGAAAACACCTTTTGGAAGGTAATACGACCTTCCCGCTGTTACGGAATTAAAATACAGATTGACGTATGTCATCGCACCACTGTCGGTGACCATGGGAGGTCTCAAAAGGGTCTGGCCAGCTCGTAATAGATCCCGAAAAATAATATATATTGAAATTTATAGGCGCCGAGGCGGCAACGGCGGCCCCTTTGAGAATCGGTGACCTTTCACAACCGAACGAGCTGTCACTTATTTAACATAAATCCCGAAAATTTTCGAATGGTTGTCATTAGAAAACGATTTATCTGCTTTACCTACCTATATTTAAGGCTATTTTTTATACTTTAGTATCAAATAAACTGATACTTATATTGAAAACAAGAGGTTATAGATGTAAGTGGAAGATGAAGTAATTATTTTATTGTAAATGACTATATAGTTAAAGGCCAACACATTCAGAAGAATTAACAAAAAGTTAACCTAAGCAGGCCGGGTTTTCCTACGCAGGCTAACTAGACTTGAGCCTAGGGCGTCAATATCAAGAGTGGTCTGTCTATCTATCGCAGTATTGATGCATTTTATTATCTATAAAATAATTTACAAACTCAAAAAGTGGAGGTGAAAGAGCCTCATAAGTTGAAGTTGACATCTTAATGCCGCCTTGCACCTAAGATAAGAAGACGAATTTTTTACTACTAACAAAATCCATTCCCAACAAATAAATCTCTTCGAATTGCAATCAGATTGATTGATAATTCCTGAAAGAATCGACTAGTTATTACTTGCATTACATCGGCGGTATTAGACGTGCGCATAATTGGTTGATGATACAGCAGGAGACGCAAAAAGAATAAAGAATAACACGGTTTAAACGGTTGCAGGTTTGCGGTGTATCATTGAGAGCCGATTCGAACGCGTTTTCGAGAACTTTTGATTTCCCGTACATTTCGCGAAATAATCTTATAATCACCCGGCGGAGTCGATAGGATGGAAAGCGCCGTTTTAGAACACGCCCAATTTAAATATTTCCAATGAGAGGGTTCGGTATCGACTTTAATGCGTTTTATGGATTCGTGCAGAAACGTTTATCTTGTATTATAGTGCTCGATAATTTCCATATGAGTTGATGACGGTGCACCGGTCGCCATGTTTGAATAATCTCGAAGCTGCTGGCTAACGTGATTATAGTGATAAAGGAGCAGACGCGTTTATTCATTTGTTACCTCAGGCTAGGATTCCGGGGCATTCCCTCTGCCCCTGCCTTTTGACAATCTCTTTCGTATCGTTATTAAACTCGATTTTAGATTGTTTGTGCGAGGATCTTTTTTTATTATTTCGAAAATTTCAAATCGATCGCTATTTTGCTATTATTGTCTAACTTCAGGCTATAAACCAAAACATTACCTTATACTTATACTTATACCTACCTATGCAAGTGAAATATACATTCAATTATCGAAACAAAACTATATAATGTCTTTAATAGAGATCAAAGCTTAGCTGGTTGTGCCGCAACAGAAACCAACCAATTTATCAATCTATAACCATAAAGACATCAACAGCCAAAAGACCTATAAACGATCTATAGTAATTGACCAAAAGAAGAAAATAACCGCAAAACTGTTACAAAACGCATGCAGGGGACAATGCAGCCTAAGGACAATCGGTTCGCCACATCCGGTTAAGAATATGCGACTGGCAGTGTGTCGATTTCGGAGCGAACGGGAAAAAAAAAGGAAACGGTCTTGCCGACAGGAAACGCTCATTCGATACTTACTTTGTCGCACGTTTTGCACCGTATCGTCGTGATGAAATTGTTCACGTCGATGTGCATTGAAATTTTGCACAATGATATCTCCTTCGACGGCCTAATGGGTATCTTATTGCACGTTTTGTGTAAGATGTCAGCGAGTCGGTAGTTTCTTCCTTTTCGAGGAAATATTATAGCGTATATTCGAGATGAAATTATTGTACCTGTGTAGGAGGAAATCAATATGAGACCCAGATTGTGCACTGAATAAGCAAATATCATTGTGACGATTGCAATTTTTGTTGAATATTAAGGCTAGAGTTCAATACTATGAAAATGTGTGTAAAAATGTTGAAAATTCCGCGACGTTTTCAGGGCGTATTTTGAAATTTGAAAGGGGGGTCGCACTCTATATATGTTCTACCCGTTTATTCTGATGGCGGTACGAAGCCCTTTTTTTAAAAAAGGCTTTTGTTTTGGCTTAATTAATTAAAATGTTGAAATTTTATATTCCATTTTCAGGCTACATTTTTAACTTTTTCTGTGCAATTTTTGTACCAAAAGAAAGAGCTAACCATCCCCGATGGCGGTACGAAGCCCTTTTTTTGATTTTCTTTCGGATTTGTTGTTAATTGGACTTTATTTGTTCATAAATTTTGTGTTTCCGAAGAAATAAAAATCAGTTTTAGGCAACCCATCAGGCAACTCCCGTTTGATTTATGAGGGGTAGGTCGAGTCTTCAATTTTACGACCCAAATCCGATAATCCGATTACCTATTTAGATACTGAATTTTAAACTTGCAAATATTCATTCCATCAGTGTAGCTACTTGTTAAAGATTACTATATTACAATTTCACTTATATTAATTAATTTTTATGTTAAATTAAATTTTTTTATTTTATGAAAAAAATAATGAAAGCAGCCACAAAAGTATTCGTTAGGTCATAGATTTATGTAGTCGCATTTTGTTTAGACATATGTAATTTAAATAAAATTGTGTATTATGCAATAATACGGACCGAAAAATGCATACTTTTTGAGTTATTAATTTTTTTATGAAAAAATTGACCGATTCATGCCATTAATTATAAATTACTCTTTTACGAAAGATGCTTTTAAAGTTCTGGAAGCATTTTTGTAGGGTGGCTACTAGCAAGGTCAAAGGTATATTTCACCCTGAGTTGAAAGTAAAACTTCAAAATTATCAAATTTCCTTATTTTTTATGGAACTGCCCATTATTTATATTTTATTGAAATCAGCGGTAAACAATAAGAGAAGTTCAAACAAAATGGAAGTGGTAAAAAACTGTCTTTTTATTTATTTCTTTATTCTCTTTCTATTTATTTATTTATTGGTTTTCTCAGATTTTGGGATAGATACAATTTACATCCCCCCTTTAGGAATTTAGTAGATAATGATAAATTAATAGTCCACTTTAAATTTGATTTTAACTAAAAACTTATTTCCAGATATTTCTAGAACAGATTTAAAAAAATATTTTGTTAATTCATCATAACGACAATGCAACAGAAATCCAGGAAACCATTAGACCAGCGATTACTTATAAAGCAATTGGGCCTACTCATGTACTTGCCTAATCTGTTTAGGTAAACATTGTATAAACGATACAATTGAATGAAAAATCAACATATCTACTATAAAGACACACAATAATTTGACTATAATTTTTATTTAAGTTTTCACTTTGATAGGTACCAATATCAGATTTATTAATAAATCAAATAAAATTGGGCTAGTGCATTATCTCCTATTAGCCCGTCCGGGGAAGCTGCCAAAAACTTATTTTCCTTATCAACAAACAATCCGCATTTCATTACATTTTTATTATACATACTTATAAGGATTCAAATTTTTCTATCGCTTTTGATTCGTTTCCGATAAACTGA